AAGCAGGGAGCAGCTTGTACTCTCAGTGCTTTATTAATTCTGAGCTCAACTTCTCAGAGAAGTCTTGTCCATAACTTAAGCAGGAGCTGGGTGGGACTTTACTGCCTCCCCAAGCTCAGGGAGGCATCTTCTTCTTTCCAGAGAGGTATAGTGGCTATGGGGTCTCTCAATGAGCAGACTCTGGGGTGCAGCTTTCAGGTGCTCTTACTATTTGTGCACTGGAAAATATGTTCCAAATTGTTTAATGGTCAGAGGTCTAATTTTACAGAAAATAGGGTAAAAATATGATCTGTCACTTTAATAGTCCTTGGCTGTTTCTTAGCGTCTTTCATCTAAAGGGTTTAAAGTACAGTTAAACACTAATGAATCAAGACTTACAATCTCCCCAGAAGGCAGGTTTGGTGCTTGTTTTGTTTTGCAGATGAGCAAACTAGGACACAGAGAGGAAGTGATTTGCCCTGCAAGGCTACATATGAAGGCTTGGAACAAATCCAAACCCTGATTTGGTCACCTACCACTTGATTTATTGAAGCCATCTTTTTTTTGGTAAATCTTATTCTGTGGAATCAGTCAGGTCCTAGCAGATTTTCACATCAAATATTGACTAAGTTGAGGATATCTCTTCTAATAAGCAACACTTCAAACTAAGGCCTTGTCTATTAGATTATCCCATTTTCTGCCCTTCTGGGTCACGTAATCTACGGTTCATGACACACAGAGACTTGACTTGAATTTTATACTTGCGTACAGACTTGTCCCTGTGCACCTTTGTGTGTTGATGCTTTTCTGCAGGGTCTTGCAGCAGCCCAAGCTGCTGCAGTGAGGAGGAAGCTCTCTTGGAGCACCCTGCACTGGCAGCTGGGCTGGTGGTGTGACCGCCAGCCACTGGGAGGCTGCTGGAATTTCGATGAGTTAATCTCATCACTTTATCACAGGGCACTTACAGAAATTACAGGGAGCTGTGAGCAGCTCACTGTGCTGGCAGCCAGCCCCAGGACGCATAAAAGAAATTGAGACAAACACACACACACAAAAGTCAGAGAACTTTGTTAAAGTTTGGAGATGATAGTTTTTCTTGGATGAGTTCTGCTTGGGTAATGCTGATTGTGCCTTCTCTGGTGATGTCCCTCTTTCCTGTAGTAATGGCAGATACTGCCCCCAGCTGTAGCTCTCAACCCATGAAATGCAGAGCATGTTATGGGGCCTAATATAAAACCTCATTTACTTTGGAAGCATTGTTTTGTATGAAGAGGGTACAGCAGGTCCCACCTCTAGCATTTGCACCTGTAAAGTGAGCTGTAAGACACAGCTACTGGTGCTTTCTTTTTTCCTTTAGACTGGGCACAGTGTGTGCAAGGGGTATATGAGCCTATGTTCAGTGTGAAGGCAATAAGCATGGTGAGTGGGTGTGTTTTTTCAGCTGTGCTTACCAGCAAACCACATGGATGCTGCACAACGTGGTGGCCGCTGCTTTGCCACCCAGGAAGGGAATTTTGCCCACTGCCCGCTCTCCTCTGGCTCTGCTCCTTTAACAGCCATGATCCCAGTACAGAAGTACCTTTGAGAACTGCTTTTTTAAGCTGTACAAACAGTATGTATATGGTAACCAGTACCTACACCTACTCTGACACTAGCACATTTAGTTGTGACGTAGGTTTTGTAAACCATTTCCAGTACTTCACTTGTCAAGGGGTCCGTGGACTGGAGGCTTGGGGAAAGTGGGAGATCTGCTTGACGCAGGGTAGATAGAGCTTGAGCTGCCAGATGGGGGCTGTCACTGCCTTCCGCTGCTGTAAGGGCTCAGTGCCTTTGGTGTAGTGTCTGTTAGGGGGCAAATTTTTGGTCATGAGACCACGAAACATGAAGTCTTACATCTTCCCGGAAATCTGGTCCTGGCTTTGGTGAGAAACGTGGGCACTGAAACTAAGGTAAAATCTTCCAAATTGAGACTGTGTTGGAGTGTTCTCCCAGGTTTGTTCCTGCTCTGTTCCTTCCTGTGTGGGGCACAGCAAGTGTCTGATCATGAGGTAAGGGCCTCTGTACTCATCGGTCTTGTAATGTGCTGGAGCTGTGTGTCTAAAGCAGGAGTTTGTTTATTACCTTGAGATTAAGCCTGAATCTCAATTTCCAGCTCTCTGAGAATGTTGATACATTGCTAGTTATTGAAATTCAGGTACTGCTCAATGACGAAGTACAGTCTGAATAGAAGCAACTTGTGCAGCACACTCTCCTCCTGCAGACAAACTGCATTTTGGAAGGAGGTAATTAATGGTGAAGAATGGGGTGGCTGGGCTGAAGCTTTAGGGGCAAGTTGCAAGTCTTGTGACAAAACAAGGGCAAGAGGTAGAAGGTTTATAACTAGCAGGTGGATCACCTTGGGCTTTGGGGTTGTGTGCTCCTGGGATTTCACACAGCATGGGCCAAGCATAGTGAGTACTGTCTTCCTTTTGAATCTGTGCTCTGTCTTTTGGCTCAGATTCCCAATGGGCTTTCCAACTGCTTAGTTAGCCCCAGAGTCTAATCACCACGCCCAGAGATTGGTATGTATCAGATTGTCGGTCTTTAGAGGATGGAAGGGTCTTGCGCAAGAACATAGAAATCCATTCCAGAAGTAGGAACAAAAATCACGTCCTGTCCCAGTGCTACTAAACTGTAAGCTCTGCTTCTAATCTGATGATATCCAAAGTCATAGAATCATAGAATAGTTAGGGTTGGAAAGGACCCGAAGATCATCTAGTTCCAACCACCCTGCCATGGGCAGGGACACCTCACTATAAACCATGTCACCCAAGACTCCATCCAACCTGGCCTTGAACACTGCGAGGGATGGAACATTCGCAATTCCATACTGTGTGTTCTCTTGGCTCTTACCTACATTCCTTCCTACAGTTCTGCTTGATCTCTTGAGTCTCAATTTCTTGCTCTAAACCTCCAAACCAACTTTCTCATTCTTCTGAACTGACTGTAGAGCTTAGAAATCCTTTTCTGAGCTGCCTGATTTACCCAGAAGTTAGACTGCCTTAAATGTATTGTCATTGTCAATGCATCACTGGCAAGCTTAGATTTCCAGTCCTGCTCCACAAAAAACATTGAATAGCCCTCTTCAGAAACATCACCTCCAAAATGGATGGCAGGATGTAAACATTCATTTCTGTTTGTTGTCTTCTAGGACTAAATAATTGCTACCTCACACTGTGATCCAGCACTTATATCCTCATGTCAGACCCTTGTGTCTGTATTTCAGTTACTTTCTTGGCTTATGATAAAATATTATGTGACCATAAATACTGGGACCGGTATTATTTAATATATTCATTAATTATTTAGATGAGGGAATTGAGTGTACTATCAGCAAGTTTGCTGATGACACTAAGCTGGGAGGAGTGGCTGACACGCCAGAAGGCTGTGCTGCCATCCAGCGAGACCTGGACAGGCTGGAGAGTTGGGCAGGGAATAACTTGATGAAATATAACAAGGGAAACTGTAGAGTCCTGCATCTGGGCAGGAACAGCCCCAGGTTCCAGTATAGGTTGGGAAACGACCTGTTAGCAGTGTAGGGGAGAGGGACCTGGGGGTCCTAGTGGACGACAGGATGACCATGAGCCAACACTGTGCCCTTGTGGCCAAGAAGGCCAATGGCATCCTGGGGTGTGTTAGAAGGGGGGTGGTTAGTAGGTCGAGAGAGGTCCTCCTTCCCCTCTACTCTGCCCTGGTGAGACCCCATCTGGAATATTGTGTCCAGTTCTGGGCCCCTCAGTTCAAGAAGGACAGGGAGCTGCTGGAGAGAGTCCAGCACAGGGCAACCAAGATGATTAAGGGAGTGGAGCATCTCCCTTATGAGGAAAGACTGAGGGAGCTGGGTCTCTATAGTCTGGAGAAGAGGAGACTGAGGGATGACCTTATTAGTGTCTATAAATATATAAAGGGGGAGTGTCACGAGGATGGAGCCAGGCTCTACTCAGTGGCAAACAATGATAGGACAAGGGGTAATGGGTACAAACTGGAACACAAGAGGTTCCACTTAAACTTGAGAAGAAACTTCCTCTCAGTGAGGGTGACGGAACACTGGAACAGGCTGCCCAGGGAGGTTGTGGAGTCTCCTTCCCTGGAGACATTCAAAACCCGCCTGGACACATTCCTGTGTAACATTATCTAGGTGTTCCTGCTCCGGCAGGGGGATTGGACTAGATGATCTTTCGAGGTCCCTTCCAATCTCTAGCATACTGTGTGATACTGTGTGATAAATAAATTTGTGATGCTGCTTCCCCTGTTTTGTCTCAGAGGCAATGTTGTGAAGTGATCATAAGTGGAAAGGAATGAGGAAAGAAATGCTGATGCTCTTTGCACAGGGATGAGACACAGATGCACAAGGACTAATAAAGTAAAACTGGAAAGATTTGCCTAGAGAAACTGTGCATTTTTACAGGGCATGTTATCCATCTTCTCAATCCAGACCTACTGCTTCCCTGCTACCTGTAGTATGCCAGCAGGCAGGAGGAAGCAAAGGACAAAATGTCATCCCTGAATTCCCTGTTTTCCCAGGCAAGGCAAGAAAGGGCAGGTAACATCCATCCTACAGACATGGAGCAGGACTGGCCACAAAGGAAATGCTGCTAATACCTGAACTGTTCCCACTCTAAGCCCTGGACTTCAGGGAACAGGCCAGGTTATAAAGGATGCAGCACAAGGGATGATGATGTACCTGGAGGGGATATTGCATCTGAAAGCCCAGCATTGGAGTCAGCCCCTTGGATGGACAGGTTTCTCCCAATACTTAGAGCAGTATTGTTTTTTCTTCAAATGTGTTCTACTTAGTGCTGGGCTCTCTAAGAGCCATCATCAGCCAGCTGTGGTCTCAGAGTATGTGTGTGCAAATGAGTGAGCAAACATACAGCGTATACAGATTGATGGTGGTGGGAATATCTGGGCCACTGCAACTTGTCCCTGAATCACTGGGGATAACATGGTTCTTGGGTGACCATCTCTGTGTTTGATTGCAGGGAATATTGAATACAGCTGCCCAGCCACGAACGAATGTGAGATCACGAAACGGAGGCGCAAGTCCTGTCAGGCCTGTCGCTTCATGAAATGCCTCAAAGTGGGGATGCTAAAAGAAGGTAAGACAGAGTCAGACTGAGAATTGTTCTCTGTCCCAATAGCACCTGAGACTCCAGGCCTTGCAGGATCTCTTAGGGTAACTGCATGCTGCCCTCTCTGGCTTTCCAAAGGTGTGTTTTTAGGGGCTTTGTAAAATAGTCAGGATGTGCAGGGACCAAGAGAGCAGTCCAGGGAGAAGGATTCTAGTCAGCACCCTCATGATAGGATATTACTTCTAATACATGCAAATTTGAAAAAAAACTGGTGGTGCCAGACTTTCCCAAAGGAACCCCAGGCTGGAAGGTGTTTCACTTCTTTTTCCCCAGTTCATTTTGCAGTGTTGAGGTCATTTTGCCCTTTGTGTGAACATGACTGGCTTCGCTGGGCTTTGTAAAGTAAGGATGGAGTTAATGCAGAGCTATAGCACAGTGTGCAACAAAAATCTGTCCATATTCCCACTTGGGAGACTATTCGAAGATGGGCAGAGGTTTGTCTGAGAGCTGAGGGTCCCCTGCCCTGCACACCCAGCCTGCGCTGTGCTCAGCCTGTTGATATGTTCAACGCTCTCCACTCTCCAAGCAGTGTTCAGCTTCTTTCTTGTGCTGCTTTTCCTCCCCCCACTGCCCTCCCCAGTCCTTGTCCATTCAAGGTGGACCACAGGGAATTCAGTGGCAATTAAACATATTCTTATAGATTGACTATAAAGCTTTGTTTCCCTTGGGTCTCTCTGAGAGAGGCAGCAAGGGGAGAGGAAGGGAAAGGAAGGAGAAGCATTGCATGTAACTCTGCATTTCTGTACCTGGCAGAGCACAGTCCCCTCAGTTTAACCACAAGGAACAGCAGCTGGTTGTGATCTGCACAAGTCCTGTATGCTGGAGCCAAGATGCCAGCTTGCAGCTTGCTTCCAGGTCATATCTTCATAGCAGCTGGTGATAAATTGTACAGTGTCACTTGAACGTGTATTGCTTTGCACGAGGGCGCTCTCGTTTCTTGAGACGCAAGTTGATGGCAGCCAGTATTGTTAAGAATGTAGATTAGATGTTAAACCCTGTTCTGTTCTTTGATGGATGTGTAGTTTCTGTGGTTAAATATCTTCCTGCTAGAGCACCCCAGTAACCAAGCAGAGGTGGTGCAGGTTTGTGTAGTCTGGCTCTCCCTGAGGTGTAGAGACTGTAGACTCAGAGGATCATGATCCACTGCTGGGAGGGAGGCACCTACTTTTGGACCTAGATAGGGACCACTGGAAACCTGTTTCTCTACATGTGGTAGTTCATGAAGGGGATATATCCCCTTACCCACATGCCAGTCCACACTAGTGACACTGGCATTAGTGGGAGCGCAGTTTGGTAATGCACTCTAGGCTGCTCATACTAATCCCATAAACCAACCTTAAAAGCCTGAGCTTTTAAGTGGCTCCAGTCACACTGCAGAGCAGCAGCATGGGTCCAGGCTTGCTGGCTGCCTGTGTCTGTGCTGCCCTGCATCCAATCATTTGAGCTTCTCAGAGCAGGCAGCTGGGGGAGCAGAGCCACAGAACCCTGCACTGGCATGTTTGACTGTGTGGCCAGGGCATCCTCTGCTTCCAGTTTTGGGAGTTTGGCACAGTCCAGAGCAGGTTCTTGTGAAGTGTTCTGTGGCTTAGACTCCAAGTTATGTGAAAACAGTTAACTCCTTCCAGACCAGAATCAGGCTGGAAAGCAATGTAGGTTCACTCACACCATGCTGTGCCTGAACTCCTGAACCTCATGGGATACTATACATGGCAACCTGAAATTTGACTCTACAAATGCTTTTGTGCTGAGGTATATTTAGTTATTCATATAGGGATTGATTTGGCATCATTAAAGCCACTGGGGAAGGACGGCTTGCTATTGATATTAGTGTATCCATAATACACGCCCATAATATTTAGAGCTGTGGAATATACAGTATAAAGATTTATTGATAGTAATGGGATGCAGGAACACATGACAATATCAAGAGCAGCAGAGGAGACTCCACTGGCAATCTGCAAATAGTACTCCCACATCCTAACACAGAGTGGGGAAGTAATGTGGGGCAAGCATCTTTTTTCCTTTGTGCTTTTTTTATTGCTCAGTTTCCCAAGATGGGAAATAAGGGTCATACTGCTTTGCTTTGCAAAAGGATTGTGAAGACTGATTAGTTAACTTTATGTGAAGTCTGGTGGAAGCACAAAGTACTAATTCAGTCAGTACACATCTCTAAAAGCAAAATCCAAAAAGGGGGGGAAATGGGTTTACCGTCTTTGGTCTTCACAGACCCAGGAATTTCTGGAAAGAACAAATCCATAATTGTTTGACAACCTCAAAAATGCAGAATTGACAAGGGATTTTGGATTAGAAAAGGTTCATTGGTCTTTTTCATCTCTGATCTGTCATCCTATTAGCTCATCCATCCCTTTTCTTTGCCAGGGCAGGAATGTTCCCAGCTGTGTAGTTCTTGTAGTTTAATTTTGTTTTTTAAATCCCTGATGTCTTGGTTTCCCCAGAGAGCATGTTCTGGAGTCCCCCAGCACTTGTTAGGACAAGATGTGTCTTGATACTTGAGCTAGGATTATTTTTTTTCCCTTTCAGTAGTTCCCTTTTCTGCTTTACTGTGTTGTACTTGTCTTTCCCTTGGCTTCATCTGTGGCAGAAGGTTGCTAAGACAGGGTCTTTAGCCTCCTTGATTACCAGAGGTTTGGAGAAGAACAGTCTTGTGATTAAAGGCAAGATCTAGAAACTACTTCTTCTCTTGACAGGTTTCTTCTTGTCCTTTGCACCGAGTTGGTAACTTAGTGGGGACATTTCTGGGTAAAGAAACTGTCCTTCCTCTGAAGAAGAGTATAATACTCCATTAGTACCTAATTAAGGGCTTCATGATTTCTTCTCATTAAGGGGGGAAAGGTTTTCCTGGTCATTGTCATCATACATGATGTTCATACAATCTCCTGCCCACTGGGCATAGGCATAAGCCTGTTCTTCAGGCAGAAGGCACCACTATTCAGAGATGGCAGAATCAGGAAAACATGACTTCAAGCTTCTGCCTTACACTTTAAATGCTCAGTTGCTGCTGCCAAAGAGACACAGGCCCTCCCCCTGGGAGTACATATAAGGGGTCACCAGACATCTTCTCTTCTCCCTGTAGGGACTGCCCCTTTGAATGTAGCCCTTCAAGATCTGGGGAGACTGCCCCTAACACAAAAGTGCAAGTTATTCAGGCAGCGCCGAGTGAATGAAGATCAGGGCAGGAAGAGAGCCAGTGGAGCAATCAATAGGTGTCTCAGATATCCAGGCCACTTTCTTTAAGAGAGCTCTGATCAATGCATTGCAACAAGGGAACTGCACGGACATCAGAGCTTTGCTGTCTCAGGTTCTCCTGGCGTGACACTGCAGAGCTGGCCAGACTCGCTGGGGAAAGTGGCAGGCAGAAAGCTCTGCCCACGGAGCCCAGCTGGCTCAGATGTCTGAAGTGTTGGCCTGTCTGGCTGCTTGTGTCTCACTTTCCCCTTCCATCTTGAGTGTGCCCCCAGAGAGCATTAATTAGCCCCTCACTAGCAGGCTCAGATAGGAAGCTGCTGAATCTGGAGTCCAGGATTCCAGCAGACTCCAGTCCCAATGACCTGTGAAGAGGCAACATTCCTAGAAAATCTGTGCTGTGCTGCTCTTGTCCTTGCTGTAGCACCAGCCTGCGGGCAGTGGGAGATGAGGCTTCTTCACAACTTCATCCAATAGAAGTGCATGGCCCCTTCTCTGCAAAACTTAGGGAAACCTGAGCACCCTGTGGTACTGCTGACCCCAAATGAAGAAGATGATATCTATATACATGCCTGGCCAGTGTGGATGATCAGTGAAGGAAAACATGCCCTGCAACTTGCAGAGGAGAGGCATTGTACAGAGCTGGACATCCTTGTCTCTGACCACCCCATAGCCCCTCTACTCCCAGCACTCTCTGCCTTGTGCTCCCAATGACCAAAACGTAGCTCTTTAGCTCTGGGCTCTACAAAGTAGATCTAGATCTCTCTGGCTCTCAAGGATGATGGATAGAGAAATTTCAGTGGTTTAGCAGGTCTCTTTTAAAACCTCAATATACCTTGTCAGTTTTGGGGAGAATATAGCCTTGCCATTCACGCTCTAGCCACCCATGGCCTTTCAGTTTTACAGCAATTTGTTTGTCATCTAGAGGTAGATGTAATTTCAGGTGACACACGGCTTCTGCAAATGGGCTCAGAGGTTTGATTTTGGACGTTGGCTGGTTAAACATGACCTCACAGCCTTGCCCTCCACACCTCTGCTGCCTCTCTGAAGTCACAGTCCTGTGTGTCACCTTGCAGAACTGCACCATGAAGAGGACAGTGATGTCAGTCCTTCTTTGTATGTCAGTGTGGTGGGTTGACCTTGTCTGGCTGAGTGCCACACAAAGTTGCACTCTCAGACCGCCTTCTCAGCAGGACAGGGGAGAAAATACTACGAAGAAGTCCGTGGGTTGAGGTAAAGTCAGGGAGATCACTCAGGAATTATCGTCATGGACAAATTTAAAAAAAATATTTTATAAGAGGAGAGAAGGATATTGAGAAATAAAAACAAAATAAAATCACCTTCCTCCCACTTCTCCTTCCCAGGCCCAGCTCACTCATAAGGTCTGCCTACTCCCCCCCAAACATCACAGGGACTGAGGACTGCAGAGAGCCACCCTGTCTCTGGTGTCTTTGGGAATACCTTGCCTATGAGGAACTTGCAACAAGCTGATAACTTCTGTGCTGCCTAAGGGCCTGCATCTGTGTGAATGTTGGAGGTGGTCCCCGCTATAAAGATGGCAAGCCTGTAATCTCCAGATTTCAGAAGTGGCTGTCTCTTAAATCCATGCTCCTCTTGTTTAAGACCCTGGCTGAGTAGGAAATGATGTAGCCAGTGATACTTTCCTAATGTTTACTCCTAACTCTGCTAGGCATAACTCCTAACTCGCCTAACTTTTTCCCTTACCAGCTGTAGCCAGGGGCTGATGGTACAGATGTTTCCCA